TTCAGGCTTTCGCTGCCTTGATGCGAGACATTCGGCAAACAATTGCACCCAACAGCTGCAAGCGATTCCAGAACTAGCGATGATCCACGTCGCCCAGTTTTCCAACGAAGGTATCTTGATTATCGACTCAATCATGCACTCCCTGAACTACTCTACGATGAAACACAAGATATCAAACAGGTCAGATTGCTCCGTATGCGAGAACTAGGCATCATCACCAACCTGCAGTTCCTCACTACGATCGGAGTTCGGCCTCACCATCTGGCGGTCGATGCCATGGTAAGATCCTCAGACGTATGCATAGCTCCTAGGGAGCGTGACGTCGCAGGCCTGTTCGCTCAACAACATGAGTTCCATCTGGGCAGAGGCTTATACATCATCTGTACAGTCCATGCAGCAGGAATTTTATTCACACGACCTCCGTTGTACCGAGGCAAGAACAGCATGGGCGCAAGTCGTACAGATGGCGCGGGCAGCGCTGCAGGCATAAGCAAAACTGCATTGCAGCAGAGGAGTTGCTCCCTGCTAAATCAGAGGAGTTGCTCCCAGTCAGATGTCAATTCCTGACTGATCAAGATTTTGTAATCATGACGAGGAGCCAGCTGCCTCCTGGTCCCGAAAAGTATCGAATAGCACAGCGTAGTCCCAGAGAATCATGCTGCAGCATTGGCCACTCACACTACTGTCAGGAGACATTACACCTTCAGCAACAGGCGAGCGGCGAGGCTCTCACTAAATTGCACTCCTTCTGCTTACAAGTTTTTGGGATGCATCTTAAAAGCACTAGCGTGTCGCTTTGCTAGACAGGTTTAGCGCTGACTCAGCAGCTTGCATCTCAAGAGCAGGTGATTTGTAACATGCAAGCTGCAGTGATAATCTCAACTCTTTTGGCTACAGCAATGGCAGGTTCCTGCTCGGAGATGAAAGAACACTCTGAGGAAGATACTGGAGTGCCTTTATGCCATCCCCGAGGCACCCAGCGCCACGCTGGAGGATACGGACGGCGCTCTGATCTTGACTGGCTCATTATCAAACACCGAACAGGAGCGCAGTGCATCATCCGAGCACCTCGCAGGTGCCTCTTCAACGCGCTTGAGTGTGCAATCAGTTAGTGCGGCCTCACCCCTTGCACTACTCTGTCCTCAAGACGTTGTAATGCAGCAAGAAGGCCGTGGAGCAGCTGAAGAAATAGCATCAAAAAGATGACTGCGCTCCAGTCCGCAACAGGTCAAGAAGTAGGACGCCGCCTGGAGCACCAGGTCCTAGGATTTGAAACTCCATAGATATGGACGGTGCAAGGTCTCCGCACGATCGTCTCTACGCAGAGATACGAGGACAACTTCCAACCTTGTCGCCTGAGGAGCTACAAACTGCTCTTGATGTGGCGCTTGCACTGCGCAGCACTCTCGAGGCAGCAGGCCACACTCATGAAGAGATAGTGGGGCAGGAGCAGATCAAGTCACCAACGAGCTCATCGCTCCGTGGGTAGCTGAGGATTCCAACCAGCTACGCATGCAACAAGCACCGAGTGAGGAAAACACTGAGGAGGAAGCTCACACCGATGACCTTGTTGGCAAATGTCTCCTCAGATAGCTGAGGTGATTAAGAGCAAGTGGAGATGCTCCCGTGCTCTGAAGCCTCCCTTGAGAAGTTCAAGAGCTTTTTGAAAATTGCCTGAGCCGCAACGCTCTGGACTCAATGCTATCGGGAAAGTCTTCGGAGCATTCAAGAGCAACAATACCGCCTCGCAGAGCCCCATGTTCGTTTCAGTGCCATTATATGAGCAGCTGAGGCTCCCAACATGAGATGATACCCAAGCAGGATTCGCGCAGTGATGCCAGCGTATCGGTAACCAATGGCATTTAGACTGCCTCTTGCAACCAGCTAGATGTAGCTACAGCTTTAGTAGCAGGCTCCTCAGCAAGTAGATTCACTGCTCGCAAAGCGAGTATTCTCACCCGACCAAGACAAGAATCTTTTCGCTGCGTGTGAATGAATGTTGTTGTCGTTCTTCTTGTTGTTGTTGTTGCTGCTGGTGTTGCTGTGAGACGTTTGAACAAACTCCCGAGAAGCTGGCTCCCGAGCCTCCCGAATCTCCGAGCCTCTCCCGAGCCTGGGGTGGTCTGGGGTGGTTTGGTGAGGGGGTTTGGGGGGTGTGGTGTCGGGTGCTCTGGGTGGGCGGGGTGAAGCGGGAATTCTTTCAATTTGCCTTGACCTTTCGCCTTGATGTCTGATTTGTCCTATTATTTGTAGGACAAGTCAGACCTCGAGGGGGGGGGTCAAGGCAAAACAAGAGAATTCTCGTTTTAGCCGAAATTTTCCTCCTCAGTGGCTTGACCCCCCCTCTCTGATGTCTGACTTGACCCCGCGACCCTCCAAACCACCCAGTCCTTTTGAGAGGCTCGGGCCAGACCTCCCGAGCCCCCAGCTCGGCCTCAAGAAGTAGATTTTGGCACGAACCCCAAATTCTCGGAGACTCCACACATCTGCAAGCTTCGTATTGCTTCAGAGCCCGGGCAACGGTTAAAATATACTCTACATATGACATATCCTAAAACCTTATTGGGGAGCCTTGAACCCTTTGCCCGGGCTCTCAAGCAATATATGAGGTCTACAACCAGCACGGGAACAAGGTGAAAAAAATTGAGCACGCGAAGTACCTGGGCCTTTTTTCTCCAGAAACGGAACGATGTGGAAGGACGTTACTGAACGTCCCCGCCGTAAAGCCAGGAAACACTTCAGCGATTGCGGGATGCACAGAGCGAAGGCTCCACAAACGTGGACCTTCATCCATGGAATTTTTGCAAGGGCACCGTTGCGGCGTGTTTAACATGAAGGTTTGCATCCCAGCAATTGGAATTTGAACATGGTGTTGGTTACATTGAACAATTTGATATGACATTTTGGATGAAAATGGTGTAGTGGTATATTTTTTGGAATACCCTGTACTCTTAGAAAGTTGCGCTGGTTTACGATAGCACATAAACACTTGAGAAACGATAGCAGGTTTGCCTTGACATGGCAATCGTCCCTTTTTCTCGCACGACTAAATGCGCACAATTCGCCAGGCACCTCTGATGCCATGGCCGAAGGCGATGTTGTGAATGTTGGCGGCGTGATCAGCACTTCTTCCAAGTTTGCGTGATCTTCGGAAACATGGAGCATGACTGAAAGAAGACAGCGCCATCCTGATCTGACCAAATTAGCGCAAATATATATAGCAAATTTTGAAACCCTGGCCCGACCTCAGTTTGCGCTAGCAATGATGGCGCTGGCACCCATGAACAGCAAACACTTCTGCTTTGTGTTGCCGTTTGCATTTGATAACGCGGCAGCGGAAGCAGGCATCAATAAATTAGTCACTACCACAGAACCACTTTCAGGTATCTTCCGCGTAGTGCCCGCATGGTCTGCGCGTAAAAATGTGCGATTAACGTAACATTCACCCACCGTGCATAGGCTTAGACAGCACAAAAGTGCTCAGAATCTGAAGGTGGGCCAAAAGGAGAGAACTGCACACAGGCACATGTCCAAGCATCTTGTGCTAAAAAAGGTATTTGCTGTCCGTTCGGCATTTTTTGACAAGCTGAAAAGACATGTTTACCCTGAATGTGTTGCCTTCTTTGTTTAATCGCTCGTGCCGTAATTCTAGTTACTGTCCGCTTTTTATTCCACAGTGTTTTTTTTTGAGAAGGTAAAGGCAATTTTTACCCCGAACTGTCACAATTCAGCCGTTGAAACAGCACGGGGGCTTGGATGCGTCGTTTGTAAAAGCTTTTCCGTTTGAGGTAGTTTATGCTTCAAATCTATGGGTTATCCGGAGAAGTTCGAGAACCCTTCAAAGTTTTAGAGACCGGGTGAAACCGGGAAAACCCCAAGGTGGCCGTCGTGGAACCTGCCCTGTGTAGAGTGATATTTTTGAAATCTCATTTTGCTGGATTCCTCCCTGTGACGTTTTTTGAGATTTGCTTGGCTTAGGTTTGATTTTTTTCCGGGTGGTTTTCAGCCAACCCATGGTAAGATTGTTTCAAATCAGAGCCGAGAAATGACGCCAAATTGCATTTTGGGCATTGAAGACATAAGCGCATGAAGATGGTGGAAGCCCCAAAACTGTACATCCCAAACTCTTGGTACAACATCGCAAAAGATCCAAATCCAGTACGCGTCCGAAAACAGTTGTGGATGAAACGGGCTTACAAAGCAATGCAAAACATGGCGTGAAATCCAAAAACCCACCGTTTTGTAGCCTGGACGGTAAAACTGCAAACCTAAACTTTGAGGCCTACAAGCACCACCATTCTGAACCCCGTCCCAAACGTAAAGCCTATCCCATAAACGAAATACACAGCCCCCGATTTTTGTTGGAATTTTCCAGACGTTTGTGATCAAGTCTCAAAGCAAATAAACCCCATGTTTGGATCCTTCAAAACGTGCCAGAATCATACAAATCCTTAACCATGGTTCTCCCTCCCTCCTCCTCCAATTGCCCTCAATGTTTGCCCCAAGCCAACAGCGAAGGAATTCCACATAAAATGGCACCACAAAATGTAAAGATACTTGTGGGGCCGAGCGAGCCGACCGGTGGTCTGTCTTTTGGTGAGTGATCTTAGTCTGCATCTTCTGCACGTGATTGTAGCAAAAATGCCGACTTTCAGATCTGATGTTATTCGACATCTTCAGGAGCATTCGACACAAGTATCAGTCTTGTTCCAGAGCAGGGGGAAATGTAAAGTCACGTCCGAATGTAGGCTAACTTGTGCTCATGAGGTGGCTGTTCCGAAAGAAACATGCTATCTTTGTTGCGCGGATGGTTTCGAGATAGCATCATGGCATGTCAATAATCGACATGTCAAAAATGAGTACCACAGTGAGTGTGGTTTTTGTGCATGAAGCCATGATTATTGACATCAGCATGTTTGTGTATGGAACATTTTTTGGAATATATTGTTACAAGGAGTCTACATGAACAGGTTGTTTGTACGCTTTCCTGTTGAGCGGCCATGTCGCAACCACTCCCAGCGAAGGACCAGGTGGGGATGTTGTTTCACTCAGGGTATGTCATGTCAAAAATGTGTTGACACAGCATCTATTGACTTTCTTGACCAGGCAGTGTTTCGATCGATTGTCAAGTTTTATGAGACCAAGCAGTACAAGAAAGGCCACGGCCTGTGGACTGTTGTGATTCGGAAAAGGAAGCCGCTGAAACAAACTGCAGGCCTCAAAGCAGCCGACTCCATCTTGAAGAAACATCCGGACCATGGAGAAACCCTTTGCATGAAGGCGTGTCTTGTGGCAGCGAGTGGTGTTTTCTGAGTATGGCCAAAGATGTTTAATCTGAGCAGGGTCTCACCGTGAGCTACTTAGACCGGAAAGAGGAGGCGTATGAGTTGGTGCGCAAGGCTGGACATTTTGACGCTTGCTTGCTGTGCAGCCAGCATTTGTTCCGGTTGGAAAGATTCGCTTGGAAGGGGCTAAAATGTGACTTGAAAAGTCATGTTTGCTGGCACGTGGTGAGCTCAGGCACTGCTTCAATCCCTGTTCTAGAGGAGCTTATGCTTGGTAAGGTCTATGGATTATTGTATCGACAAGATCGAGATTATTTTGAGGCAGCAATGGTGATTGTTGGCTTCTCATAAGCAGCGCGGTATTCGTCAGTTTTTGCCAGGCCGTGAAATGCTACCGGCAGGTCTGGGGGAGGGACAAGTGCAAGCTTAATTTCAGGTGGTTTCAGATTTGATTCATGCTTAGTTTGGCTCTTTACACGCAGAAATTGTATAAGGATCAGTAATGGTCATGGCAGCAGCAAGGGCAGGGACTAGCGTCGTGACAGCACCCGATGCATTTGGGCTGCCGCGTTCGATCCAGTTTTGTGTGAGAGGCTCTCCGGATCGACCAGGAGAACCTTCAGATCTTGAGAGATTTGTCTTTGCTGCAAATACATAGTTGCATCCTCAGCATGGTTGAGCAGGTTGTTTGCACTTGAGAAGGCCTGCCCTGGCAGCATCATGGAGATCCATGCCTAATCTTAGGACGCGATGTCCACGGTTTTGCGGAGACCCGCCGAAAGCTGCTGCAGGTGACTAACATGTACAACCACGCAGACTTGTCACAGCGTAGACTGGTGTTGCGAGGTCAAATCCTCCGCTAGATTGAATTGGGTCTTGGCCTTGGCTGTTGACAAATGGCAACAGCACATTCAGCAATCACATGCTCCGTTTTACAGGAACAGATCACAAGCCAGAAATAGCAGCCATGGTGATACCTGCGTGTGTCAGTGTTGTGAGGACCTGTGAAGCTAAGAGACGTGGGTTGTCTGTCAGCTCAAGGTTTAACCATGCTTGAAGCCAGTCAGTGTTTCCGATCACATAGTCTTATGATGACAATGCCATGCAAAGTGCTGTGCGCAGCGCCGTGTTGTTAGAGGCTCCTGATAAGGTTGGCTATGCCATTGCAGAGCACCTTTGTGAAAACTACGAGCTTGCTTGGAAGTGCATCGACAATTACGAGAACTCGTTCAAGGCACGCTCTCGTGAACCTTTGTTCACCCACCGTCTCGGAGAGCAGTTCTGGAGAGACAGGAGCAAGATACTTCTGCAGCCTCCGACTACGAGAACTCAGAGCTGCACCTGTACAAGGTGAATGTCAAAGACTGTCCAAGACCTTTTGGGTTTGGCTCATGCTGGCTCATGCGCCTGCGCTGTGATTCTTTGAAGTTTCTGCATTCTCTACACCTTTACTTCCTAGAGCTGGTTAGTTGACGGCTCGCTGTAATGGCCAACATATCCGTCAAAAATTCCGTCTCAAAATGCCCGGGGTGAACACAAATGCCGATTTCCTGTCATCATTGGGCAGACACCTTTGTAATGTTTATTTGAGGTTTGGCAATCTTGCCAGTGTCCAAGCTCGAGCAGAATTGTGCACGATTTTGAAAGCTGACAGTGCAGAGAGATGTGCCCAAGCTAGTGTGGTCCTGAAGGGTGTCCGTGGTTTGGCAACTCAGTTTGTCATGGACCCGTTATTTCACCACTTTCAGCCACAGCCTTTTCTTGATGAGGGTTGTCATCTCGACGCCTCTCTACACCTCTCCGACCCTCTGACCTACTCCAATCAGTCTTGACATGCACGAAAACACTCAAGAAAGTCCGCCTTGCAAAGTCGCTTGGATTGGAGGCTTGCTTTGTGACTTCAGGACTGCATGTTGTTATCGGTACACACGGCGGCAGTGGTTGAGACCCGAAGTCAGGCTCGCCTGATAGCCCCCCCCGGACCGAGCTGTCCTGACCTGGCCCTCACTCCGATGACTCGTCGCGTCATTCCTGTTGCGTCTCACATGCTAAACATTGCTAAGCGCCTCCCGCTTTCATGACAGATGGCGTTACTCGGAGACTGGGGCTGGTTCCATGTAGTCTGAGGCTTTTCCTGGGTGGAGGACCCAGATACTGAGTATGTGGTACTTCATGCCACCCGCCTCACCCGCATTTCAGTTGTGGCCCTCGGTGGGCAAGGATGCTGTGGTCATACAAATGACTCCTAGCTTCAGCCGCCACAGCGTCGACAATTGCAGACAACACAGTGGACCGCTCTGAGTGAGGGTAGGCCAAGGGTTCCTGGGTTGGGTGGGGGTCTGGCTTGCATTCATGGCGGGTGTGCTGTTGAAGTATGCGAAGATGTTAAATGAACATGTGTGCGACATCGTGCATTTTTCCGAAATGGGTCATGAGTCTGCAAGGGGTTGGCAGCTTTACTGCTTGCTGTGTCACTGCTCTATTCATGCGTGCCTGGGGGTCAGACATGTGTGTGCAGCACGTCAGGCAGCCATCATGGAAGAAGCCGGCAAGTTCAAGGACCAATTTTCAGGGACGCTCCACGCAGTGAGCAAAGTTGTCGAGAGGACTCCTTGAGCTGCTTGAAAGAGAACGAGAACAAGATTGTCGACAAGCCGCCTCCCTAGTCGCTCCCCTGATCATGACTGCTTAGAGCCATGCTATAAGACTGTGCAACAATCTCGAAGCCTCCACGCTGCTTCGTCACAACGTTTGAGTTCTCCGCCTGCTGTCCGAATTGAATCCTACTTTGCAGGATCGGCCTGTTGGAGATGCAGGGAAGGCTCTGCATGTTCTTGGGCTCTCATGAAGAAGCGGCAGGCTACTTCAAGAGGCCGCCGACTTAGCAGGTTGGTCCGAGCAACGCAGCATTCCTGCAGCTCTGCCGCAGGCTTGTCAATATCAACACAGAGCATCATGTGTATGCGCTAGCATACATGGTCGGCGCCTGAACAGCGACCAATTATTCGTTGCAAGACAATGAGCATGACATGAAAGTGGAGGCTTCTCAGCCACAGTTCAGCAGCTTCTGGTGTCACTCTCAGCATAGCTCTCCTGAGCATGTCTACTGCAAAAAGAGTGGGCCTCCCTGAGCCTCGTATGTTCAGGCCTCCGCTGCCTGCTCCGGCGACACAGGTCGAGCAGAGTGATCTTTGCAACGGAACTGCCGTGCGCCAACCTTTTTTCACTGGTCGTATGCAGTTGGATCGAAGCTCAGGCTTCACAAGCCTTGCCAAGAAGTATCTTGTCATTTCCATCGACTCTACATCCGGAAGGCCTGGAAGCTTGTTTTTCTTGTGTGACGGTGCTGCACTTTGTGTTTCGACAGCGGCAACCACAGCCTGCAACTTTGTTATTCCGTCTTGGCTCAACTCGTTCCAATCCATCATCTGAAATGGTGCTTTTTTGGCATTTGGATTTTATCACATCTTGCTTGTTGCTCCGTTACATTGTCCACAAGTCAGCAGGCATGCCAGTTTTTGGCTGGTTGCCGCCGAAGCACGCGCTGAAACCGCAACGCAGACTGATCATCGGTCGGAAGCAGTGATCCTTGCATGTTTGCTGGGCTTGACAGTTAGCAAGAGTCGTTTGGGTTGCTTGGCGGGTACGTTGTGGACACAGGCTCCTGTAGCTTTTTCGAGGCATAAGCGACGTGTGGATACGCTTGAGCCTGTCGTGCTATCCCCAAAGGCACATTGAGATGCGAACGCAGCAAACATGCTTAGCAGCCGTAAGGTTGCCCTGACAGATGAGCAGGAGGACGAAGTGCCGCCCTTAGCTGCCCGATACGCCGCCTCACGCTTTGTTGCGTTGGCAGTGTCGGCATTTTTTCTGTGCTAGTAGGGCATGTTGAAATTCGGCAGGTGATCCAATTCTTTGATGGCTTGAAAGCCGAATATCCGAAGTCCGACTCAATGAAGAGGCAGCAGGGGCTTTCGGCTGTTGCATCCTCCTATCCTGAAGCCCGCAGGCTTCCACTCTTTTTTCTGACTGGACAGCGATTCAAGCGGAAGCTCGACGAGTACCTGCGAAGCAGGCTTCGAAAAGGCAGCTGTTTTTCCTGTCAATGCCTCATGCTTGGCAATTGCTTGCTGCTGTGAGGTGTTCCGTCACTCTTTCGAACCATGCGCTCCTACTATTTTACGTGCATTCCTTGGCCATGTTCGCACTTTCCATCCGTGGCGCGCGCATCTCCACAGTGGCACAGGCCCGGCAAGCCCCAGCTGCACAACCGCCACGTTTGACGTGTTTGAGGCACGAAATCTTTGATAAAGTGCATGTCGAACTGTTCAGGATTGAAGAGCTGCTGCTGCAGTATGTGCGCTGTTTGAAGGAGGATATCTCGTGGCATGGGGCCTTGCGCGCTTGCTGTTTGAGTAGCCATGGTAGCTGTTGGAAGGCTCCGCAGAGAGGGCGTGGATCCTAGGTTTGGGCCGCTTACGGGAGAGTCACAAGATCCACCCGAGGCACACTCAGTGCAGAAAACGTAGAAGAAGGTTCTTTTCCATGTGGATTTTTGTTTTTTTCAGATGAGTGATGAAGAGCCGCCCTCGGCCCTGCTCTTCACCCTCATGGTCGGACGCTTTTCTAGCAGCTTCATGTACTTTGGATATGTCTCACCGGCTCAGACCCTCGCTGAGCACTTTGACTTCATGGGTGAGACCCACAAGGTCACCACTCGGCTGTCATATCTGTCATGCTTTTTTACTAATGCCGAGTTGTACCCTCTCGCGTGGTTCGGGTATGCTCGGCCCCCGCACATTTGAGGCTTTGGAGTATGTCAATGAGGCAATTGATCATACACCTACTTTGGTGGAGGTGGCTTTTTAGGTTCTTCTGTGCTGGGCTGCTGGACATGATCTGGTCTTTTCCAGGTCTATGCATGCAAGGCCCGCATCTACAAGCATGTCTGAGCCTTGAAGCCTTCGACCAAAGGATTGCTTAGCTTTTCTTCTAGGCCCCTGGCCTCTGGCCGCCGCTTAGGCTGGAGACCTGGAGAACTCCGCACAGTGCTACGAGGAGGCCCCACAGTCCTTCGATGAAGGTGGGCTTCTGTCAGGAAATGACGCCAGGTGCGACAGATGGACTTGGCTGATCGATACTTGAACACGCAGTGCGTCAGGCCAGACGACCCTAATTTGCTTGCTTTATCCAAGAAGGGCTGTGCGCACAGGGCGCTGCTTCGAGTGGATGACACGCAGGGCGGAATGGAGAAGGCCAGTTTTGTGACTCACATGTTGATAGTTGCAGCGCGTTCGAGCATGAAGAGGCCTTGCTGTTTTCGAAGGAGCCAGACTCGCAAGAGGCAATGTTGCTGTTTGCCTGCACGTCTACGAGAAAGTCGGATTCTCTTGAGGCAGCCAATCTGCATGACATGCAGTGCATGTGGTATGAGTCTGCGGTGAGGACCTCAGTCTGAAGATGGTGCCATCATGTGCTTTTGATATCTTTTGATAAAGCATGCGACATCTGTGTAGTAGTGTAGTAGAGCATGGTGGGGCAGTACCCCAACAATGTGTGTCAAAACATGTTATTTTCTGCTGGGTCTGTCAGTTGCTCCGAACCCCCACCTTGACCGACCGCTCTGACTCCTATCTCTTATCCCGCACCGCTTCCAATCCGATGTATTTTTTTGATTTAAAGCACATGACAAGTGTAGATACAGCCCCCTCCCTGCCCATCGTGGGGCTTCTGCGCACTTCCAACCTTTACTTCATGAGCGTCGGCAAGGTGGGTCGAAGCTACAAGAGGCAGAAAAAGTATGGCAAAGCCTTGAAGCAGTCGCCATCTCAGCAGTTTGGCGTACTTCTCAGCATTGTTGCAGTCGCTGGACCATCTCTGGCACAGGCTAACACGCAGTGCTAGACCTCAGCTCTCACCATCCTACCAGCTAACTGGCAATGCAGAAAGGGAACAACAGTATGTTATTGCATAGGCAGCGTACAAGGATGTGAGGCTGTCCGCCTTGCCTACTCTGCCATGGGCTCATCTCAAAGCTGAGAGCTTCCTGATGGCAATTGCCCCGACTTTTTCCAAGCAAGCGCTCTTGACACGTGGACTCTGGCGAAGTCTCTATCTAACCCTGGGCATTATTTTGACAATTGGCGCGTACAGCTTTCTCCAGGAGCGAATTGTTTCGCAGCCTTACGACGGGGAGATTTTCAAAGCAACCATGTTCCTTGTGCTGTGCAACCGGATCTTTTCTATGTTGTATTCATTTGTTATGCTCAAGAAGGAAGGCGAGAGCTGGGGCACGCAGGCTGCTGTGTGGAAGTACGTTGCAGTCTCCTTCTCCAATATGCTCAGCACTTGGTGCCAGTATGAATCCTTGCGCCACGTCTCTCTAGTCCTTCAGACAATGGCCAAAACTTTCAAGATGCTTCCGACCATGTTGATGGGTGTTCTTGTATCACAAAAGAAACATTCAATCAAGGACATATCGACAGTTCTGCTAATAACCGCAGGAATTACAGGCTTTGTGGCCGGCGGGGATGTCAGATCTGAGTATGCCTCTCCAGGATCCAGCTTGTATGGGATCCTTCTCCTCCTGGCTTTTTTGGCGTTTGATGGCTTTACAAGCACATTTCAAGAGAAGCTCTTCCGGGAAACTCGGATGTCCAAGTACAATCAGATGCTCTACATGAATCTGAGTTCTGCATTGGTCGCCACTGGATCTTTGATTCTGACCGATTCTGTGGGCTACTGTTCTCTGTTTGTTCAGAATCACTGGTACTTTGCCAACGATGTTATGGCATTGTCGCTATCAGCAACTGCTGGCCAGTTCTACATTTTCTCCATGGTTCAAGAATTTGGTGCCTTGGCACTGGCTGCTGCCATGAATGCAAGGCAGATCACCACAATCTTTGCGTCCTACGTGTTGCGACCGCAGTCTGCAACTCGCATGCAGACGATTGGATTGGGGCTTCTCTTTCTGGGGCTCTCGCTGAGAAGCTTTTCTCGTGAGGATAAGGCCTCGCCCTCAAATGCCCCTTCACCGATCGTGAGCGCTCGTGTAGAGCCTATAGGGAAAGCCAGTGAAACTGAAGAGTCCAACGACTCCGATGACGATTTCCTAGAGCTTGTGAGCGCTCGCCAGTCTAGGAAAAACTTGACCTAGCTTTGAAGATCCTTGTCTATCTTCTTCGCTCTGGAACAACCGGCTCCCACCTGGTTCCCTGCTTGTAGCCTGGACGTAATCCACGGAAGATCTCGGAGCTTAACCGTGGCCGTGGCCTGATGGAGACGAAGGAGACAGCATTCTTACTGGGAGGAGTCCGAGTGCGACAATGAGGTATACCATGCCCTGGGAAGCCAAGTGTTACAGTCCAGCCCAAAGGACCTTGCAGCACGACCTGAGCTGTAGTTGCGCAAGGCTGATTCCAGATGGTACCGGAGAATGCAGAGCGTTCCACGTATGGAAGAATCAAGGTTGGCAGCAGATGCCTAACATGTTTTCCAGGTACACGAAATGGGTTACCTTGATATTTGAAAGCGCTGGAGCTGCTGGACCTGCCGAGCTCTGCCCTTCGAGAAATTCAATTTGAGAACACGTTGGCGTTGTCCAAGGTCTAGAGATTCCTTTCCACATATGCTGGCCACAGGTGTGGACCGTGTACCAGCGCGTGAGAAGCATGCAAACAGAGTCTCATGCTGATGCTGGTGCAGCTAGCAAGATGCATTCCAAAACCGCAGACTTCACGTTCCTGTTCGACTCAGGTTCCACGAGACCTTCAAGCACTTCCATGATATAGCGGAGGATCAGTTTGATTTCCACAACTATTGCCTGCGCAAAACTACGCTTAAGGTCAGTGACCTGACACTTGCTGCTGTCCTCTCCAACATGAAAGATGTTTCCCAGGCGTATGTCGCAATGCTGCGGATGCAAGAGAGGCGGCTATGTGTACTTCTTCAAGTCCAGCTGCGTCTTTGACCTGTCCTCTGCATATCATGCTTGCGGAACTGTAGCTTATGTCTGCAGCTGTCCGAATCCTGCCTGACAGGTTGTACTCGCACAGGTTTTATCGACGTGCTGCGAAGGTTGCTTGTTGTGCTGATCTGGTCACTGCAGCCCTCTGTGGTCTTTGAATGAGGATGCCGTCAACATTTACCTCGAGATTTTTGTTGCTCCCTAAGTTGACCTGGTTTGCAAGATTTTGCTTGCTTGCGTCTTGACATTGAGGATGCCAAAGCTCGGGGGGAAGAAATCTTGACCACCGAAGGCAGAAAGAGGATGCGCAGTGAGGTTGGCTGTTTGTCTGTCGGAGCAGGCGCTGCTGCCGGTCCCAGTCCAAGCTGATAGAGTGTGACAGCAGATGTGGCGTTTGGCTGTGCAGCTCATCACTGTGGCACCAGCTAATCACGAGGGAGGTGCACCGTGGGAAACAAGCCTTGCAGTACCTGCTTTTGGGTGACCAAGGCGACGAGGCCGAACTCAGCGCGGAGGAAAAGAAAAAGCTTAAGCACAAGAAGAAGCGTGAGGACAGAAGCTCTCCTGTCCAGTATTTACATTTTTCTTCATGTTTTCAAATACCATCAAGTGAAGGCGCAAAAAGAGGCCCAGAAGGCAAGTGACAAGCCGCACCTTGGCCGAAGTTGAGATGAAGGACAGATATCTTTTCAAAACTTTTTGAACCTTTGGGCCGGGAAGGTCCACCGGGCAAAAGCCGAAGAAGGTGGATGACGACCCCGAAGGCGAGAAACTCCTGTCGGGGCCCCACCCCACCCCAGCGCTCTGCTGTCATGTGGATGGTGGGATGACTGGGATGACTTGGCGCAGGGAGCATGCATAGTATGCATGGTCTGAGGCAGCAGGATGCCATGGAACAGTGCAGCAAAATTGCCGGGGATCCTTGCTGCACAGCTTCCTGGTGCCCCCCGCAGCTGCGTGCTCTGGCAAGAGTCTAAGTCCGAGGTTCGCACTTTGGTGCAGCACAGCTCCTTGGATGCTGCCACGCATGTCCTGGTCTGAGATGCTAGCATAGCTACATAACAGAAGCGGCTAGGACGCAAGCTGGAAGTTGTGTTGACGTCTCGGACAGGTCTTGACCTATGAAGTCTTCAGCCGGCAAGGGAAGATGATCCACTGCCTACAGGCAATGTCGGACAAACCTTCTGTTTTAAGCCCTTGGGCATGGGTGTCCTTTGTATGGTTGCTCACGCCACAAGAGAGAGTGTGACTCTGCAGACGTTGTCTGATATTTCCTGGCTGTTTCTGTCTCTCAGCCCGCATGCCTCTCCCACAGCTGCTTGGTCCTGTGCTGAAAGCTTATCAGGCGTTGAGAAAACTGTGGGAACTCGGTGGTCATGATAATCTTCATTACAAGCTTGTGGCCCCGTCCCGACCCTAGCCGGAACTGCAACTCATTCATGCCTGTAGTGTGCACTGCTGCTAAATATGCCCAGGCTTACCCACTTCTGCTTCACCCAGGAACTGGAGCAGGAAGCTCAGTCAGCTCTGTCCATGAGATGAGAACTGGTAAGGTGCTGTCTGCTGATCATTAAGGAATACCTCAGTACCGCCGCTGGTTCGTGAAGTGGTCATAGACTCGGGATCCCATGGGGGCCTTGTTTAAGTTGCAAGCTATGTGTTCATTAGAAACATGGTCAGGTGCTTGCGGAGATCGCTCCGATTCTGACGGGCCAAGAGGGCACCGGACAGCAGCACTCCTGCTGTTGCTTGCCAACCTGAGTTTGAAAAGGTGCTCAGCCTTTTGGCAGCGTCGCGGAGATGAGACAGGCCAATCGGACCACGCCAGTAGACTTCCGAAGTGATTGAAGTGACAAGGCAGCATCAACCATTGTCGACAGCGTCGAGCGACGAATAAAGGCTGTGACCGTAGAGCAGCACATGCAGACACAAGCTCCGCCCTGCCTTCCAGGAGTCGCAGGACCTGTTCCTGGTGGAGGTGCTCTACGGCTGACTGCCTTAAATTTGCTTTGCGAGATCCAAAAAAAAAAGGAATATGTGCAGCAAAGGCCTCAAATGTCTTAGAAGTGCTGGCAGAGACTGCAAGGCTCTGCTGGAGGCTTGCGGATTGTTGAGTGAAACGAGAGACATTTCTGTCTTGATGAGTTCTGAGACAGGCATGGACCCCTCCTGGTGCAGTTGCCCCAGAATGAGATTGGGCAGTCATCCTATCTCATGTTTTCACTTCGGCAGATGCACTTGCGGACTTGCAGTAAACTTGCCGCTGCTGTGAGTTTCATCTCGGCGAGACCAGGTGTCCAGCAGTAAAGGTGACCAGAGAGCAACACTGAGTTTTGATTTGGCCACACAGCAGCGGCACCAAGCTGGATTTTGCGCACAATGCTGTGTCTAGCCAATGCGTATTTTCATCGCAGCAAATCTTTGAAGGCAAATACTGTGAGTTGTAGGAGTTTTGTTCATGTTTTTTAGAAATCAACATGCAGCCCATTCCCGTATGCCCACAAACGTGCACTCTCTAATTTCGACGAATCACAACCAAACCGGACTGCAAAGCAATCAAGGTCATTTGCCTAAAGGAGAGCAAGAAGCTTCTCCACTACCTCGAAAAGGAGTTCGGACAGGACAGTGCATGCCTCCCTCTCCCGCCTGCAGTTGTTTTGAAAATTTGCATCTGAAGCTTTCTTTCTGAGGACTCTACCGCTTGGAAGCGGCTGAAACAGCGCTGCGCGGAGTTTTTCCCCTTGATGGCACCAACCTAAGACACGCATGCTCCACTTGAGTTCCACGTCTCAATATGCCCGTTCTGAGTTATGACTGCTAAGGTCCTTGCGGACTGACTTTGGTTGAAGATAGCCACAACCAGGATGAGGAGAATGCTGTGCATCTATGGCAGTAGTATACAATTTGGAAAACATCAGTGCCTGGTCGACGAAGTGCCACTCTGTGCAGCTCATGATTCCTCATTGTGCGGGATCCGAATCCAAAAAGCACCATGTATTTCTTTCTTCGTGTTACGGTGCCAGCTGGATTTGTTGGGCAGCTGACGTATCGCTGTTGTCAGCTTCGTTCAAGCTAGACCCCACTTCCGCAACAGTCCAAGAAGATATATGATAGATCCAGCTTCAGCTCTGTGGAAGCACCAAACCCTTTTAAGATGTTGATCCACATCTGAAACCTTTGGGTTACAAATCCTGAAGACCCGAAGCTCCTAAGTCATACGCTCCACAGCATTAACCCCCCAAAAAATTGCCATGCATTAGAAAGTCCCAACCCCTACAAAAGCTCGAACCTCTAGAGTACAAGACCAGGAGAATCTTAAGTCCAGCCGTAGAACACCAGAGTCTTCAGAAAGCCCTTGAAGCCATAGGCTTTGAACATCTTAAGTTTTGAACATTTTAAACCAGGAATCTGCGCCAGCCAGTGATCTGACTGAACTTGCGAATCTTGAAATGCAATAACCTTCAGAGCTGAAAAGCTGAATGCCACCATCTGCCACCGCTCCTCTGGTCACGTGTGCAGGAAGCAGAGCTGCAGAGCTGGCCCTACTGACTGCAAGTTTTGCTGCACGCAGCAAAACGCCCCTGCGGAACGTAGCTGTAAGCCTAGCCTGTGACAACATGCAAACTGCATGATGCATGCAACATGCCAAAAATGAAGTTGCTACTTTTCAACAACAAGCTAATCAGCGTTACATGTTTGCGTTAGCGAGCTTTGTGAGTGTCGGTGACGGACGCTTGGCACTTCGAAGCTTAAAAGTCGCGGGCCCGTTGTGCATGCAGCCATGTCTAGTCTGGCCGTTGAGTGGTGCAAAGTGTAGCTCAGCAGTAGAAAGGTGGTAGATCCTGTAACTTGTGCCTTCAACGACACCACGGACGCCATTTGATAAGTTCACTTGTATCTATCTCATACCGCATTAGACCTTGTTTGTACCAGGTTGTTGCCGACGTCGTCAACCGAAATGCGAGCATAGAGAGCCGCGATTCAATGCGTCATAGCTTGAGATCCTGATGTACGCATTCTTACAAGTCTCCGTTTTCAGTGTGGATCATGCTTTGGACACCCAAAGCTGAAAACTCCTTCTTATTACCAACTATCTATCAGTTACTATCCACAACTAGCTTGATGCACCAGCCATACCTTGGGTACAGCGGCACTGAGCAACAATGTGTGCAGAAGTTCCGAAGCCTCCCTGACCCAGAGCTGCGTTACTTTGAGGTAGGAAGATCCACAGATTGCAGACTGTCTCATGCAAAGCTTATCAAACCGTGCCGTGTCTGGTGTTTTCATGGTCTACAGATACTGGGATGCTGTCCATTGAACAGTGAGATCTCTGGTTGAGACCTAGAAAGGTGACAGGTCTTGTCGATCTGGCTTTCTTGGATACTCAGGACACTCAGATGCCTCTTGGCAACGTCAGTTACATCTTGCCCCGCAGCAATCTTTGACTGTACCAGGTTGTTCACGATGGCTGCCATGCCTCAACCTAGCTGCGATCAGACCGACCTGCATGCGCAGCTGGCTGCCTTAATGATGAAGGACTCTATGATGATAGCTGGCACAATGGAAATGGGCGAGAGACAGTGCCTGCTTGAGCAAGAGCTGCAGATTGTGGGCACCATACTGCATGAGCAACACCATAAGGGCTCAAACGAGTCAGCTGAAGTTCTTGCAGAGATTTGGGATCACGTCGAGGATGAGCTGGTCTCGCTATTAGCATCGCGGGCTGAGACCAGAACACGCATCTCAGGAATCCCTGCAGGGGAAGTTGCGCAAATGGCTGATGATACTGCAGAGCTGGACACAGCGCTTCAGAAATTGAAGTCGAAATCTGGTTGGAAACTCTATCCGAGCATGCCTCCATCATGTTCCGCAGGTGCCCTGCCTGCCGTGGCAGAGTTACCCATGACAAGTGTCCGAACAGCAGAGGCCAAAGCAGCAACTGTCTGTGGAAAGGCACCTGCGCATGGCAGAGGAACTTGTCTCCAGGGTGATGCTCAGGATCATGCAGTTAAGGAGGCTCCTGCTGGCAGGGCAGGTGATGCTCCAAGCAGCTTCCGCAGCGCCGCGGAGATTTTCCCAGAGGTTGCCAAAAAGGCTCAGCCGTCGCAGCCTTGCGTGCCGACAGCCCAGCAACATTTTGATGACGTCAGCCAGTCAATCCTGAAACGAGATGCAAAGTGCCGTCCTTCCAAGCGCTTGCATCCAGATGGTAACGATAAAGACCACCGTGAGTGGAGTGACGCATGGCTGCGAATCGCTGACGCTGACCAGCTTGAGAGACTCGTCCCAGCTCTAGAGGCAACAATCCATCGTGCAGATGCAGCTGATGCCATTAAAAAAGAAGACATTGCTGGATTGAATTTTGTTAAAACGCAAATCGAAGAGGTTTTGATTCTTCCGCGTCTTCACCCGGAGCTTTTCCTATCAGCGCTCACAAAACCTGCACGTGGCCTCCTGCTTTTCGGCCCACCCGGAACAGGAAAGACATTGCTGGCCAAGTGGATAGCTGCAGAATGTGGAGCAACGTTCTTCAATGTTAATGCATCTACGGTGATGTCTAAATGGATCGGGGAGGCAGAGAAAACCGTGAAAGCTCTGTTTCAGCTGGCTGCAGAAAAACAGCCCTCTGTCATCTTCTTGGATGAAATTGATTCCTTGCTAAGCCAACGCCGTGATGCAGACAACGAGGCTTCTCGACGTGTCAAGAACGAATTCCTGACCTCCTTGGAGGGGGCTGACACAGATTCGGAGGAGAATCTTCTTATTTTTTATTTTTTCGTTTGTAAGTTAGGGAGCCAGGGGATAAGACATCTGATCTGTTGTGGTTTAGCTTTGTCATGCCTGGCAGACGGTCACAAGGAGCGAATTCTTTTGGTCGGCGCTACAAACATGCCCTGGGATCTCGATCATGCTGTTCTGCGCAGGCTGCCCAAGCGCTTATATGTTCCCTTGCCTGGCAAGGGAGCACGCCGGTCCCTCTTGTTGACCCAGCTGGCCAAGCACAACTCCAGACTTGGATTGCCTGGAAACCTAAGCGCTTCTGACATTGACAGCATCGTGGAACGCACTGAAGGCGTGGCATTGGAAAATTTTGCGTAGCTAATCATGGCACACGCAGGCTGTCCGCTTAGCTCTACCCTGCAGGTTTTTCGTGCTCAGACCTGCAGCAGCTGCTGTGTGAGGCCGCAATGTGCCCAGTGCGAGAGATAGCTGCTGCACGCATTCGACAGAAGGCTGGAGTTTCCCAGGTGGCTCGACAGATTATTCCTTGCTTTCCATAAGATACAAGACGTCACCTTCCCCAAGTCATGCCTGCTGACATCCCGTTGCGCATCCAGGCACAGCAGGCGCAACGGGACATCGCGAAGCATGACTTTGAATGTGTCTCAGCAGCAAGCAGCATGTATGCTTATTGTAGTCTAAAAGCAGTTGGTTGCAGTTACTGCGGTGCATTGGCCAGGTGCTCTGCGAAGGGTGAAGCCGACACACACTGAGGAGCAGGGACTCAGACATCAGGCATTCAATAACGAGCATGGCACATGTCGCCTCTCGGCTTAAAGTGCTTGTCTCATTCAGATGCTGAAGCCTGTGTTTCAGCTTACTTGGGTGTCCGCTGCAGGCGGGGAGGATGCCATGCAGGACCTGGAGTCCGATGCCGACTGATATCAAGTGACTGGATGGTACATGCGCTGCACCGCCATGCGCGTGATGCAGAGGCTAGCCAAGGCTCACAGCATGGCGCATCTTAGGCCACGCTTGGTCCAGCATGCTGCTCTTGTGGATGCGTTCAGTTTCCAACTGCTGACTACATGATGTAGTTTCAGCACAACATGGGGGGAAATGATGTTCCGTGAAGGGGGTCACTCATGGCAAAAAAGGAGCGTATATTCGGCCAGTTGCATGCCAGAGATCGATCAAAAGGGCTTGCCATTCATGCTTTAAGCTGGCTCTTGGTAAACAACTGGGTCTCCTTGCCTCAAAGCATTCCTGGGACCGTCCCGCTGTGAGGCGCCGCGCAGCTTTTTGAACATCCTATGCCCTTGCATTTAGAATGCTACGTAGGGCAACCTGCGAAGGGGAAGACATGTTCAGCATGATGATTCTTGGCTTTTGCACAGGCGTGGATAAGCTTTTTACTTCTGAGTTCTTCTTGCTTGCTTGGCTCGTCCTGGAGGCATTTGCGTTGGGGCGTACCAGGACCGCATGCAGCAACTTACATGGCCTGGCTCCCTACCTCCCTGCATGCCTCCCTGCCTTTGAGGAGAGCAACATCAAGCCGATCTACGACATGGTGTTCTCCAAATCAGCGCAGCTCTGGCAGGTGCCTCACTTAGGCCTTGCAGGTCAGTGACAAGACTTTGGTGAAGGTGAATGCTCCTGCCAGGAGAAGGTGTTGGCAAAGGCAGCGGCAGCATGAGCCCTGAACAGGCAGATGGCTCAAGGCGGGCGATCTTTCTAGCAAATATGCAGAGCTGCATTTGCCAGCACCCTCACGTGAAGGACTGCGCCGCCTTTGAGCATGTGATGCCGGCGCTTGCTGCTGTACCCGCACATCTCGCTGCCCAATTCGTTGGTGCCCTTTGTTGGCCTGTACTCTCCGTAGCATTGGCAAAACCAGTTGTCGTTTGTAGCTCGTGCTAGACAAAGTGCGCACCATTGCCTGGTGGTCAGGAAGTTCTTGTGCATAGGATCCGCAGGAGCCGCAGCCTAGTCCTCAATGAGTAACGCAGCAAGCAAGAATGTTTTCAGCGCGGCTTGAAACTCCAGACCCAGAGGGCTTACGAGCACAGACTGAGCAATGGAGAAAGAAACAGGTCCGAGTTGCCGGCTGGATCCATTTTCACGAGATGACGGAAAGCGGCCTTTTGGCGTCTTGGAGTTGTCAGCTGGAGCTGTAACAATGGAGGATGGGTGGGGGGTGTGGCGAGTCCCCGAAGTCCGGGCCCGGTTTCAACATCATTCGCGTGCGTCGCGCGGTTTCGGGGCAGCCTTTGGCTTCAATGTTGTTGGCAGCACTCTAGATGCATTCTTACCGGTATTTATAGGATTTCTGTGGTATCCAGATGACACCGTGCCCCCAGCATCATCAGCATCATTGGTATTCGGTTCTCGTCTGCTCTAGTCTTGAGGCCTCGGTGTCTCCATTCCTCGTCCGCACTGGGCCAAGGTTGCTCATAATGCTGGCACATTTTTGGTTTCCGGTGTCGCCATTTCTCGTCTTCCTGTGTCTTGTCCTGAGATGTCCTGAGGGTCTGATTTTCTTGTTTCGCAGGGCCAAGTGTTGCTTGTGTTGCTGGCTGCGTGCTCTGTTTCTCACCTTCTCTTCTTTAGGGTCTATTTCGTGTCAATGATGCGTGCGCCATGTTGCACAGCTGGCTGCTTCTCATTCTTGCAGATGAGCAGGTGGTATGGGCATTCTGGCTCCGCCTCCGCAGCATCTCCGCATTTCTCCGTTTCTCGTTTTGTCTTGTCTCGTCTTGTCGTGTCTCATCTTGGGCTCCTGCAGTGTTGAAAATGGGCAGCTGCTGCGAGCTGACCTCTTATGAATCAAGTCCCATGTGCGAGTCATGCCGAAGCAACACAGCAAACATCATGCTTGCTTCTGTCTAGACTCTAGACTTTCACTGTTCTTGCTCTCTGTCCAGTTCTGCTTTGTGTCCGTGAAGCCTTTCAGGTTCTATTCACATTGCAACAGCCAACCTTGTGATGCTAATATTGACGACACGTCTTCTGCTTCATCAAAACTCATTATGAAGTCAACGATGTCAAGCGGTTTTCAGAATAGCAGCCACCGCGGCTACAGGAGTGGGATCGCTTCCTCCAGCTGTTTATTGGCTCAGACATGTAGAGGTCCATCAGAAAGCCAGGCAAGGCGCTGTGCCTCTGTGAGAGCATCTCCAGAACAGTGGCGGAATGCTGAGTTCAATTTAAAAGTGCAGTCAATTTGTGAGTCCTCTGGCCGCCCAGGGATCATGACTAACCCATCTGGACTTGCACCGCAGGCTGCCTTGACCTGAGTTCATTTCAGATCATTTCAGAATGTTCATTCCCCGTAAGTACCACTCGCTAAGATTTGCGTGAACACAGTGGCACCGCCTCAGCCTCAGGTAAATGTGAAGATACGTTTTGCACAGCAATTGGGCAGTTGCAAGTTTGTGTCGCGTAAGGCTCTTTCCCCGAGGGAAGGATCACCAGCTTACTGATCTCTGCTCAGTGCTGTCCCATATGCATGAATTTCGAGCAGCTCCTGAAGCTATTCACATGAGTTTGTCCACCTTCAGGCAAGGTAGGGTTGCAGCTCAGGCCGGCGAGTGGCATGATGCTCGTGGCGGCGGTCGCCCTGTTCGGGATGTGCAAGTGCGGCACACGATGGCGATGACACACTTTACTTGATGATCGCCCGACCGCCCGACTTGCAGTTCCTAGGTCTACCCTCGACACGTCCGCGAGACGGAAACGCATCAGCACCTGCACAGGTGGGGGAAGTCAGCAGGAAGATATGCCAAGCTGCTTACACTCGTTCCTAGGGTGCCAGCTTCATACAGCTCGCATGGCTCAAACTGCTTACCGATTCTCACAGCTGCTGGTTTGGATTGCAAGTTTTGCAGAGGACAGCAGCGGTGAAGCACCATCTGCGCAAGATGGCCAACAGACACGAGATGCTGAGCACATACGAGCATGACTTCGGTACGCCCAGTCCGCAGTGCTGCGCAGTGCACAGTGTGTTTGTGGCCACAGCTTCCTGAGAAGTTTCTGTTGAGAGGATTCATGACGCGGCCGAAGCCGCGAGACTTCTCCGAGTCACCCGCCCGGACCAAGAGGCATAGTGTGGAAATGTGCAGTGTAATACGCGCAGGAGATGTATGAGTTAGTATTTTGTCGGCAAAGTACGGCGAGATGTCGTAAGATTCATGCAGCGAAGTGACGTGCAGGAACCTCTCAGAGCCACCATCCCGTCAAAGCTCTGCTCGTTTGAGTCTTGGATCCAAGTGCGTTCACTCAAGTGCTTCATTGAGATATCAGACGACCTCCAGAGGTTCTCAAGCTGGGTGGACAGGCTGTTGCCTGAAGTCTGTAACATTACATACGTACCAGCGAGTCGGTGGTAGGGAAGAAGCTGCAGGCGAGTATGGGGTTGACTCAAGAACTCAGCCGTTGATGCCTGAGCTTGCTCGTGCAGCTGCCAGTGTGCTGGGACCAGATGCGAGTGTCACAATATCCAGGCAGTTTGCCCAGACCGAGTCAAAGCTACAGGCGCGTCTTGTAAGTAGGCTTGAGCTTCACCAAGCAAGAGGTTCTGCATGCAGATCCGTTCAGCATGCCTGTTGGAGTCTGTTGGAACATTGACAATTTTGGCAAGCACTGCGGTAAATGCTAAGCCCTCTTAGCATGAGATCCAAGGGGTTCCAGCAGAGCGGGGCTCCATTGCGGCTGTCTGTCGCTGGCTGGGGCGATTGCCGCTGGAGTCCTAAGACTGTACTCCTGCCATGTTTCCGAAAACGTTGATTATGAACTGGATTTCTATTCGTGATTGCAGTCATGTGGTTTGGACGCGCTTATGGACTGTTCCAACCATCATGGTGGTGGCTACTCGTTACATCTCGTAGAGCTCCTGGCCCGTGCCAGCATCCAAACATGGTCATGGGCATGACGCAGAAGCGGATTGCCCTACAGCAGACGACCAACATCATGAATCTAAGGCCTCGCTTGTGTTCGCAGAGAGGAGTTGTGTTTGTGAAGCACACGAGAGTCTGATGCAGGGCCCCTGATCTGCCCTTTGTGACTCGATGAGCCACCGGGATGGCTGCAGCTGCTCGCCAGCCATGCCGCGCTTTGGCGCAGACGTGGCCTTTCTGGGCTGCGTTTGACGCCCCTGTGTAGTCTCGGAAATTGCTAATGACCAGCCTCGGGCCGTGACTCGGCTAGGTCCTCACAGATCTAAGAAGCATACTTTGCGTTTCAAAGCAGCACTGCCGCATGGTGGATGCCCTGTGAAAGGTCAGGGCATCTCATCTTATCTAAGCGATGAGCTTATGAGATGCTGTGCCACGGGTAGAAGCACACTGTCATTTGAGCATTCCATCTTCCCCGTATGTTGACAACATATCAGAGCAGGTCGCGCACTCCGCCCAAAGGGCCGGTTGTAGTTCGGCACGCCGCAAGTCTCACTGCTTCTTGCGCCTGAGACAGCGCAATCAAAGTGGCAATGGCAAAGCAAAAAGGCAACGCATTCTGTAACAGGTGCTTGAAAGTTTAGCATGCTCACGACCATGGACTTGCAGTTGTAAGATGCAGAGCACTCTTCGGCATGCTGGATAAGACTTCTGGCTTTAGTTTAGTTTGCGTGATTTGCTGCTGCGTGTTCCCAGCCACATGGGGCTGGAGCCCTAGTTGGCAAGTTCGCATGTGCTGCTGTTTGGCGCGAACCCGCTGGACTTTCAGGAATAACAACGCGGGGTGCACATTCTGCACCGGCGCGGAAGGCAACGCCGTTGAGGTTCAGGCAGGGACCTCCCATAGATCACGCCCGTGACATGCCATGAAATGCTCGTAACAGGGCAAGTTCCCAAGTGACGGCAAGCTCGAGAAGCGCGGCCCACACCAGCTCGGCCTCACAGAGCTTTAAAAGTCAGGTTCGACTCAGTTTGGATGATCTTTTGACTTGAGCCGAAGTTAGTCAGCTGAACTCAGGTTTGAAAATGGGGCTACCTACACTGGTGAGTGGATGGGTGGCCTGGCTGAAGTCGTTTCCTGATTTTCCAAGTCAACGTAAGCTGTGACATCAGAGTCAGGCAACTCCCGCCATGGTCAAGGAGAGCAGGCACCGCTTTCCTTTGGGTGTTTGCTTCTCTCTCCTATTGGAGATGTTCATTGCTGTAGTCTCCAGTCAGCGTCAAGAAAGCTCTGGATAATTCTGGATACTGTTTCCCTACTTTTTGTGGGCTTGGGTTTCTGGGCTCAAGCGTTCTTCTTCGGCGTGTCAGCTGTTGGGCTTCTGGGGCTCATGGTTTTAGAGCCCTGCTTCATTAGGGGTGTTCAGGCAGGCGTCGAGCCCAGAGGCTGCAGGGTTCTAAGGGTTGAGGTCAGTTTCAGGGCTTTGGGCATTCAGCGGGTTGCAATAAGAGGCTTTTAGGCTTTACTGCTCATGATATTTCCGATCGTTGATCTGAGTACAGTTCGTGAAAGGCTGCCTGGTTTCTGAGCGTCTGAGGAGCACAGGTTTCGGGTTTTTACATTTTCGGCTTCAGAGTGTTGATGCTGTGAGCTTCCGACTCAAGGTTTTAGACCCTCAGGCCCTGGGGCATTGCAGGGTCTGGGCTTTCGGGAGCTTGTGCTTTCAAGTTTTTTTCGGGCTGTGGGGTCACGGGTGGCACATCATAACAGCATGCGTGGACTTAGGCATGTATTTTTAGGGGTTTTCAATCCCTTTGTGTGTTTTGTAGTGATGAGTCATGAATTGCCAGAAACTACCAGAGTTGCGCAACTCCCGAACCTTTCCCCCAATTTCCCGGCGATGCGACGAGGGAAATTAATCCTCGCTTGTTTGAAGAAGATCCAGCCAACGGGGCAAAGATTGTGCGGCATGCCTACTATGCCTAACCTGGAAGAAGACGAGGATGACGATAATGGTGAATGACGTTATTAAAACATCTCCCTCAGGCAAAATCCGATGTCAAACACAACTTGAAGTTGATTTACCGCCAAGCAGGTTTGGCCTGATGGTGCCAAGTACACAGGAAGCTGGGTGACGGGCTCAGTTTCAGACTGCACTGCCACGGCCCCCGTATCCAAAGTCCTTCCTTCCTCTCTCGGCAATGTGTTTCCTGCATCCTTGGCCAGGAAAATGACAAAGCACATGGCAAGGGACGCTTCGAGCACGTTGATGGAGATGCCCGGAGACCCTGCTTGCCTTGCTGCAATTGAAGACTTAGTTCAACATGACATTGATGGACATTGAAACGTTGATGGATTGGCATGCAAGGTGTATGAGGGCGAGTGGAAGTCTGACAAAGCTCATGGGTATGGAGTGTGCGCTCCTTGTAGACTCCCTTCCTTGGGCCTTATGTTGCCATCAGCATATCTGCCCGTCTTAGGTACCACCATGCCGACGGTTCCCGCTATGAGGGCAACTGGGCCTGGAGCCTAGCAAGGCGACAGGAGAGAAACCTGCGAGTCTAGGTTGTGGAAACTGATGTTATTCTGCGCACTCAGGCGCATTGATTACAGGCTTAGTAGGTTCAATGTGCTTGAACCAGAAAGAGACGAATCAGGAGCTGAACGCCTCAACCGGCACAAAATGCAGTCTCTCCAAGATAGAGCTCGGCACAAGAATTTCTCAGCTCCCTTCAGTCTTCGAATGTTAGCAGAAGACATCAAGAGCCTTGTGAACTTCAATCATGTAAACTTGCATTTGCATCCTGCTCGGTCGCTGTGATTGCACAAAGGGGGAACTGGAATTCCGGGGAGGGGGAAATTGAGCTACCAGTGCAGGCCAGAAACTTGCTAGCTCAAGTCAGGTAAACAGGAAAGCCAGCTAGCAAGGTCTTACTTCCAGTGTGGGCTCCATCCGATGTCCCACAGGTCTGAACTCCAAAGTCAGACTCCCTTGGACAGATTCTTGACCTAAACAAGACAACAGCTCTCTTCGTCCTGAGAGCTTATCTTGCCCTCTACACTCGTCGCCGCCGTCTTGCTACCGTGTATCTAACCTAAGAAGCCAGCATGCGCACAGGCGCGCTCATGCGCGGGCCATACGTGCGGTTTCTGGAGATCTGGAGATGTTAGCGTAAGTTGGGAATTGAAGGATACCAAAGCCCGTGTTTTCTTCCCGAGCCGTGTCCTCAAGGTTTAGGCAGGCCTCACTCTGTGCAAACACTTTGCGAGGCGCAACATCTTGGCGAAGATGTTATACCTAATCATATCACCTGTTGTCGAGAGAAGAGTCCAGCCCAAGTAAAAACATCCTTTGAGCCGGGTGCAGCGAATCTGCGGAGACAAGTATCAAGTCTGAGCAATCTGTTCGGATAAGGTGACACATCACAAGAAAGCTCAGAAGCATCAAGACGAAGACATGCCAAAATGGAGCAATAGCAACAGCAATCTTGTTTTCTGCATCGACAGGTTGGCCAAGAAAAAAAGGTTTTTACAGGCCGTCAATCGGGTTCAGGGTCTGAGACAAGTGTTAGAGCTCATTTTTTTCGTTTGGTCAGCGTACTTTAGGGAAGGGGATGAGGCATTTGAGGGCAACGGTTGTGGTAGGAACTGCACTTGGGGTTGAAGTTCAGGGAAATGAGGTCGTTGGTATGTTAGTTATGGCTGAAATCTCATTGTATTTACGGGCGACGTTTAGGTGTAGGGTCAGGGCCTTGGGTTGGGTTTGGAGGGTTTAGGTTCAGGCTCCTTGGGGACGTTGCTTTACAGTGTGAGATTTGCACCCGTTTTTCATCCTCCTTTCCTGACGCCAAAGGAGATTGTTTTGCTGCTTAGCTGGAGCTTACCCCAATGCTTGGCATGTTTTTTGAGGCTTAGCAATTAGTTTAATGTCTATGCAGTCACCACTTCCGCCCTACCTTCCTACCGCTTTTAGAGTATTAAGGCTGGGCCAGCACTTGCGTGCATGTACGTTGGAGTGCTACAGGAAAGAAATGCAAGCTTGCAAGCCTCTGTGTGGTGGAAGCCGTGCAGGTGCATTTGGATCGCTTTCGTACTCGGATGTCTTTGTATATTTGAGCAACTACCCGTTACAGTTACAGTGGCCAGATCTGTGAGGCTACGGTAGTGCGTGTTCCCGTCAAGCTGCATAAAACCAGCCTCTGCAGTGAAGCCGCGGATCACGTGAGCTGTGCAGGGACGGGGTGTCGGTTTTGTTTTGAAGACGGAGCCAAGGCTGATGACAAGCAACACGGGTGCCAGCCTCACAGGAATGCGTGTCATGTGACACCAAGAAGTCCGAGCTGAGGAATGGCAAGGAAATCTGGCCTGACGGTCTGCCCTGCTTCGCCCTGGAATCTCCTTGCAGAGGCAGACTATCTGTGCAGGTGCAAAGTATGTGGGCGAGTACGAGGCGTTGCATACTGTGAATGTAACAACTTCAAGTTGAAGTGGCATTCTGGCATGAAGGTGTTTGTTGCAAGTCATACTGCCAGGCAGGGAGGAAGAGCGGCAAAGGACACTTTTCTTGGTCGGATGGCTCCAAGTACGAGGCCTGAAGCTGGAGGGATCAGGTTGTTGCTCTTCTCAATTTCATCGCCTGTAAGATGCATATCTTTCAGACCCCCAATTCCCGTCACCTAGAGCCCCCGTGGACCTCCCCCAACCTTTTGGTAGACCAGCCCCTTGAGAAGTCCAGTACACCTCCTAGGCCTTCTTGAATTCCTTTCCCGCATTTAACCCAGGCCTCAAGACAATGTAGGGGGCGCACTGGTAGACCTCCCTATCCTAAAGCAGATGCCTAAGACTCCAAAGCACCTTCTTACACTGCCCTAGGAGACCCCTGAACCCCAATGAACCCTAGCCCTTCTGCCTCTAGCATACATCCTAGATACACTGAAGAATCTTAGACACGCATACATGCCCTCCCTCTACGCTCGCTAATCCCCCCGCAACCGCGACTGGACAGCCCGCCTGGACCTCTCTCGGACCCCCCTAGACCTTGCTTCCAATCCCATGCAAAGCCTTGACCTCTACGCTTTCGCGTGCTTCAGGCCCCCTGGCATCCTGAGACCCTTTTGCTCAGGGCTTCTTGCAGAGGGAGGGGCCGGAAACGTTGGAAATTTTTGGAGCCGAACACCGGCGTTCCGTGCCAGCGTGGCGGTGTGAAGAGAGGGGGAGAGGGGGGCCAGGAGCGCAGTGTTGAGGTGAATGCGCAATGCACCGATCCTTCCCACCGCCTGGCTTGAACCGTGAAGTTGCTGCACTCGGTGCGTATAGTAGTTTAGCAATCAGTAGCGCGGTGCATGGGGAATGCTGATACACGTTGGAAGCTATTGGTGGGAGAGGTTTTCGTGTCACAGCCCAGTGCAGCAGGACATACTGGTACAGGAGGACACCATGTTGGGGTTGCCCGGGAGCTGAATACAGTATCTAAGTTCGGTCATGGTGTCCTGGCTACTTCGGTATGTCGATCCTCCTGGGTGCCGACCGTATGTAAAGGGCGCGGGCTGGGGCTGGGGGAGTACTGTTGGGGAGGAGTAGTCCTCCCTAGAGCCCGCAAAGAAAGAAAGAAGGATGGCCGTACAGCCCTGAAAGAAAGAAAGGGCAGGTAGAGACTTTGCTCTTAATGCCCACGACTTGGTCCGTTGGAGGAGCTTTCAATCCTAAAACCTCAACGAGCTTACACACCTGGAACACCTTCGCTTGAATCCTCAAACTCCGAAATCCTCAAGGCTCAGGGAGACTGTTAGTTTAAACTCGGAAGCTCTAATTCTCAAATTCCACAGCCTTGCAGCCCTCAGCCTTATTCCTGAGCCGTTAACCTCTCAAACCTTGCTCAACGCCTAACCCAACAATACAGCAACAACTTTGAGCTTCGAAATCCAACCCCAGACGCCCTGGTTGTGAAAAATGGGAATCGGCAGTCATCATGCTTGGGACGGCAATCCTAAAGCTGCAGAAGAGGGCCGTCTCAAATTTTGGGAGGCTGGAACGTTTCTGAACGGTTTTGAGAGATTCATCAGTTTATGGAGTCACCAGTGATTTCAACACCAAGTTGCAATTCAAAGTTCTAAGATCGCAAGAGAAAATTTATCCGACTGCCTCTATGCATGGAGTGGATCATGTTGCAGCAAGTGCTTGCAATCTGGATCAAACTGGGTTGTCTGGCTCACGGACGCTGCCAAAGTTGGAAAGCTTGGATAGGGATAAAATGAAACGAATTGAACAAGCTGCTGGCCAAGCGGCTCTGATGGCAACATAGCATAGGACCATCTTGGCCAAAAGCAGACTCAGTAAACTACAGACGATGAGGCAAGCAGCAAGTAGCAAAGGGAGGTAAGGGCCAGGGGCTGCAATCAAGATATATAACTTCTCGCACTACAGTCTGCACCACTGAAGCCTCTGAAGCTGATGGCAGGGAGAATTCGTTGACAACGACATCAACGGTGTTGGGGTGTACCAGTGGGCATGCCTGACCGTTTGTGATCTTGGTTTGACACAGATATTCATTGACTGATGCTGTCTGCCAGGGTGATGGCAGAAAGTTCGAAGGGCAGTGGGTGAAGAACAGAATGCATGGCTTGGCACCACGTTTGTACGCAAGATGCTGCATATGGGAATCTGATGGGGTTGGGCTACACTGAGGTCATGGGCACTTCACCTGGGTTGATGGCCGCTCATACGAAGGGGAGTACAAAAACGACCAGAAGGATGGGGAGGGAACGTCTGGAGCTGAGTCCAGCCAAATGCAAACCAGTCGAGAAATCTCCAGACTTGATGGTGCTCAGGTTCAACTGGCCTGATGGACGAAAGTACAAAGGTCAGTGGCGCTCCCGTCATGTATTTGCACTCCTGCCATGTGGCTGTGCCTTGAGATGGTACTCCTCTTACGGGAGCCAGGAAGGAAGGCAAACAGCACGGTGTTGGAACTTACGTGGCTAGCTCAGCATGTGTATTATGCGCAGCAGTGGGGTGGTGGGGTTGCAGGAGGGGATGGGATCTGTGAGGTTACTGCATCCGGTGAGGAGCGCAAAGGTCAGAGAAGGGGCGCTGCAAGTGTTTGCGGAGCATAGCATACACAATGCCTTGAGCAGGTGAGTGGCAAGACGGCCGCCGTGTTCGATGGCTGGATACCGAGGCAAATGCAGCCTAAGAGTTCGTTCTACGCTTTTGGTGGAGCTGCACTGAGTGCATGCTCCCGGCAAACGTGTGCGCTCTGTGTCTTTCTGACGCAGATGCAGTGATGCCTCGCAACAACCCAGACGCTGTTTTAACACGCTGGTCTGGGAGAGGGCTTTTCCTGTCCACGTGCCGTAGTGAACGCCGTCGTGAGCTTGGCAAGTACGAAGGCATGCAACTGGAAACTTGTGCAGAGAAGAATGTTGATCACGAATTTGAAGAGCAACGGGCTTGTGGACAAATTGGCACCTCTGTTTCACACTCCGAACGGTGTCCGTGCTGTAAGTAAGAGCACCAATTAACAGCACTGTTTAATGACAGTGCCTGAACTTGAAACTCGCGTGCCTGTGCGCAATATGCTGATACGCCACCTCTTGCCAGAGATTGTGTGAACACTGCTGATGGTGCCTACTCCCCTACCCGCAGCTGTACACGATTTAGCTTGCGGAGTAGCCTGACTCAAAAGCAGCACTCCAAATTCAAACGTTAACGCCAGCTGGACAATGAATACCTGCAGCGAATCATGAAGGTAGGATAAACTAGGTGCACTTCAAGGCAGTGGTTCTCCAGGCCAACCCGCCCACTGCGCCATGGCAGCAGCCAGCCGGATCCTTGGTTTGCAGAAGCAGCCGGCGCTTCATGTTTGAAGCCACAGGTTCGGCGTTGCGCAAGACAGTTTTCCGCGTGGCAACTGTGACAGGCAAAGAAATTGACAAGAGACAGCAAGAAGTGACTAAGTGGGTTATCTTGTTGCAGGTACAGGGGCTTTGGGCTGGGTCTGCACCTTATTCGCGCTGCGTCGCAGCAATTACGGCGGCGAGCTTCACCGTCAGGCGTATCTGCAGCGCCTTCCAAAAGCACAGGATGACCATCGCCTGTCGTGGCCACGGTCTCAGTTCTTCGGAAACCTCAGCAAAGACTTCTCAGTGCCCCTGGATTTTTTTGTATTGCAGTGTTGGCGATGTGCAGGCGTGAGTGCCTTTTCACGCGACTCTACACCACCTTTGTTTGCCGCTCAGTCATTAAAATCGATCCACATGCATGAAGCCTCCTTCCTTGTGTTGTTGGGAGGTAGCTCCTGTTGTGATGCCTGCAACTGAGCATCCTCATATCAGATACACCGCATGTTACATGGTAGTGTGCTGCAGGCAGACAGACGCGGAGACGGCGCACAACTTGACATTGCGTGCAGGAGAGCTCCTGCAGGCGATGTCTTGCCAACGTTGGGCTGGCTATGAATGTTGGCTCGGCGACCGATAGATGCCGAGGCATGCCGACTGCTGCTTGAGCCATCAAGGTCCAATCTGCCCCTAGCATGACACTCAGAAAGTTAGAGCATGGCACAGGGAGCTTTAAGGTAAACGCCTACTAGCGGGATCTGACCAAGCTAACTGCGAAGGATTGGCTTCTGCGCCCAGCAGCTGCTCATCCAGCTTCACCTGGGCCTAGCTTGCGGCAAGAGTTGTTTGACGGGCGCCTGGTCTTTGCCACACCCTTGGCCTGCAAATGCAGTGTCTGCAGTTTCGCTTGGACAAACAGGCCAGGCGTCGCTTGATGTTGCAGAGTCTCAGGACACGCCAGTGGGCATCGCAGCTGGATTTGACAAGAATGCATTGCTGGACGCTACTGTTGGATTAGCATACTTTTTGTTTGTTGAAACTCAGCAGAAACTGCAGTCGAATTACTGCATGAACTTGCTGAGGTCCCTTTGTACCGGCTCGGTTTCTTGCAGCTTGGCTTTGCAGAAGTGGGTTCTGTTTCTGCAGAGCCGGCGATGGGGAATGACAGGCCAAGATGCTGGCGTATCCCCAGTGATCAGGCTGTCATAAACTGCATGGGGCTGAACAACGAGGGCGCTGAGTCTGTTGCAGCCCGCCTCAAGAGCTTCTCGCATGTGGCTGATGGCTCCCCGATTGGGGTCAACATTGCCAAGACGCACAATCCTTCTATTGTCGGCCCTGCCGCCATTGAGGATTTTGTCCAAAGCTTCAAAGTGCTAGCCCCCCTTGCTGACTTTGTGGTGCTAAATGTTTCATGCCCAAACACCGTGGAGGGAAAGACGTTTGAGGAGCCATCTGCGCTGGCTGATCTTCTGAGTGCTGTTGCAAGACAAAAGCAGGCGATGCAATGGGAGCGGCCTCCCCCGCCAGTACTGGTCAAGCTCATGGCCACTCCCGATTCGGACGCTGGCCGAGCTTGCCAAAGGCAGCTGCTGGCGGTTATTGAGGATTCGCAGCTTGTGGATGGACTGGTCATCTCGAACACGATCAAGAATCCTGAGGCGCCACTGTCCAGGGCAGGCCGAGAAGAAGCGGACCAGATCGGGAAAGGCGGTGTCAGTGGCAAAGTTATCCACAGTCGGAGTGTTGCCGCCATACGGTCAGCTTTTGAAGCCACAGGCGCAGCCCTCACTTGCACAGACGTAAAGTGCTGATTGCTTAGCATAAGAGGTGGAAGGCTACCGATTATTGGTGTCGGTGGAACAGACAGTGCGGAGGCAGAATGCAGCTGTGACCATCAGATGCTGCTGTCGCAGTTGGTGACAGATGTTGAAAGGCGGCGTACGAGAAGATACGGGCAGGAGCCAGTCTGGTCGAGGCTGTGTGCTTGAGGCATTAGTACAGTACAGCCCTAGAACCCTCCTTGCCCCAAAGCAGGTCTACACGGGTCTCGTGTACAAAGGGCCCGGCCTGGTCACAGACATCCAAGCAGGCACCGAAAGCCTACAAACGATTGCATCAGTGTGCAGTCTGTCAGGCTTTCCATCTCTGAGGTCGCATGTATTATGGGGATTTGCTCCTGACCAGTTTGGGAAGCCTTTGCTTGCTTTTGGTAGTTGCGCCAACCAGCCTGCCAAAGAGTAGAATCTGTCTCCGTCAAATCATGGATTTTCTAGACGCACTCATTGTACTGAGAACTGCCTGCGTTTGCAGCAACAAGACCGTCTGTTCTAGATCCCAATCGTAGATTGCTTCCATGGTCACATCATATCCTTTGACACTAAAGGAAGGTTCGGAGCAATTCTTGGTTCAACTGGCGCTTTAAACGATACCGGGTTATCGCTTACTGACGTTTTCGTGGGCGCACGACCATCTAGCAGGAATGAAAAACCCAGAAGACTTGCTCCGCAAACTTCGAGCAAGCCACGGCTGGTTTAGACTTATCTCATGTGTTCTCAGATGTTGATACTTGGTATCAGTATCTACTGGTACCGAATTTGAATCATCTGCTGCTGATCACGAAGATGGCTTCGCTCATGTAAACTTTTTCTTCGTTGCATTGTCAATCTACGTTTATGTTCGTTGTTTTGTTTGCTTTGCAGCAAATTTTTCCTAGTGACTCTTCCAGCAGGAAGGTACATATCAGATATGCAGTCCCTTTTCTTAGGTTCTGCAACTTCTGTTGAAACGGTTCAATCTTACGGGTTGTTTCTCTGACACATCGGACATGCCCTCTCGTCATTCGTACTCTTAAACAAATAAGCCACCTCCATAAGATTGCTTTTCCAACATCTAGTTGCTTTTCCAATTCAGATGTGTTAGGAGCCTCATCGCAATTGTAATCGCGGCACACGGCCAGGCTGTACGCGTTGGCGCTGAGTTAGCGGTCAGGACACATGTAAGGTCATCATGGTGGAGTGGGGTCTGGGGGTTTTGGGTGGGGGGCAGGGTTGGCGGGGCGGCGGGGCATTGGGGGCAAAACGTAGAAATGCGAATGCAATGAAAAGGATAGGGAGGGTGTGCCGGGCGGGTCAGGTGCTGGAGGAGGGCGTTCCTGCAGAAACCTCTAGACGCCTCTCGGCAGGGTGCAGGCAAAGTGCGTTGCCACTCTTTCCGCAGTATTCAAATACTTGTCGAGCATGCTGCATGTTGCTGAGATCTTATGTCAACATGATAGAGCCATGAACACATCCTCAAAGAGAAGGCGCGGCGCGTGCCAATTGACATTCGTCATGTCGTGAAAATTCGATCTACTGTGGATCATAAGGTCATGCGGGGCAAAGAGACGAAAAAGTTGGACATCGCAAGAATGAGGGCAATGCATGCGTTCTCTAGCTTTTGCAGAAATGGTACGAGAAGAAGCAACACGCATAGGAACAAACGTCAAATACATGTGAGACAATATGCAGCAAGCACAACCTCACCAGCCTTACCACAAATGCCGCTGTTTTCACGCCACACATTTCTGCAAACGATGGTGTTCAGAACTCAGGGCAGCAATTTCATTATCTATGTTCCTTTAAAAGCAGTAAAGAAACATCTTGTGCTTAGTTCTGTACAGCTTAGAAATCCCCGCGCTAGAAGCATCTATATTGCTATAAGTGACTGGAATCTTAGTGTTCAGAGTATAGGCTGAATAGAGTTTACTTTTATTGTCAAACAAAGGGTTTGAGAGCTAGGGTTTTACGGTGAGGGTGCTTGTGGTCTTGGCGATTTTGGCTAAGAAGGCCTCATGGCTTTGAGGCTTTGCAGTTTTGAGGGCCCTTTGGATTTTCATTTTTTTGCGGATTGAGGTTGGGGTTCTGTCCCCCACCTAGTACCAATGATTCCACGAAAGCTGTCTGTCTGTATGTATGCATAAATAGCCCCTGATATTAAGCACATTATGATCTGTTGCCGGGCGGGGGCAGCAATGACCATTTTTTCCCCAGAGTTCAGGCATTTCAGGGATTAAAGCTTTCAGGGTTCAGGGTCCCTGGCTTGGAGTTTGTTGGAGTTGCGGGTTTTGAGCTCAGGTGGGGTAGTTTCGTTTGGCTGATCGGTTTGGTGGCTTTTAGGGTTTGGTCTCTATCGGGGTTGAAGGTGGAAGCAGCATCGTGTGTTTGAGCTTTTTTTTTTCTGTGCTCGGTTTGATGCTTGTCGATTCTGGTAGAGTTGCGACTTTCCAAGGTTTAACTGGTGACTCTTCTACTGCTTTAACAGTCGAGGTCAGGGAATCTAGCGTTGCTGTCGTTTTTTTTCGGGAGGTTACGGCTGCAGGGCTTGGTAGGTGTTACGCTTGCTGGTGTTTAGGGTTTGGGGTTTTGAGTTTGAGTCTAGGTATTTTGGAATATGTTTTTTTCACGGTCGGTCGTGTCTTCGGTGATTGGGTTTTGAGGCTGTTGATGTCTTGAGGATCTGTTTTTGCTGGTCTTTCTCTTGCTTGGTGGCCTCGGAATTTGAAAAAAATGCTGGTCGCGAGTGCTTCCAGGCTTAGGTTTCTTTTGGGGGGCTTAAGAACTGCAGAAGTGTCTGTGCTTGCAGGGCTTGCCGCTTTTAGGCGAAGGAGTCGTGCAAAAGACGTGAGGCTTTCAGGATTTATAGCTTTATGACTTAGATTATTTGGTGATGGATGGCACACATATAACTCTGTCCAGATGAGTGCCGACCTGTCGACTTCTTCAAAGGTTTGTCAAGTCAATCAGCTTCTTTCTGGTGAGGTTTGCCGTTTCCAAGTATTTTGGTTTCTGGGGTGCATAGGATGCTGTAGTGTTTGGGGTTTGTGGTTTTCTAGGCGGTTTTGGTTTTGAGGCTTGTTTATGGTGTTCACTTAAAGGGTTTAGGATTTCTGTGTATGCAGGGGTCCGACCTGCCAGGGCTTTTAGGGCCAAAGGTTTGGTGTCATTTGTGGGTCGATTTTTTATTCCTCGGAACTTGCAGATTTTGAGAACACTTTGGATGTTCATTTTTTTTCATGATTTTTTTGGGGGGCTTAGAGTTGTAGAGTTTTAGGGTGTTTGGCGGCTCGCCCTGCCGCCCACACAGCCTCGTGGCCTTAGCCGCGCGACGGAATAATGAGACCTCGTGCTTGAGCTTGTGGCCAACGTGGCATCGTTGCCCGCGGCCGCGCGACGCTTACACGCAGCCTACACGGGCTCGCGGCCCTGCAACCGACACCCCGCAGCCAAAACAAGGAAAGCGGCTGGGGTAGCTGTGAGTCTAGGTAACAATGGAATGAAGGGAGTTACCCCACTTGAAAGCTATGGCTCGCAGGGGAAAGGCCGGAGCCAGAGCTGGGTCCTTTCACTCAAATCGTAACCTTCTCGATCGCCTGTCTAAGTCTAGCTCCTCGACAAAGACTTCTGCTACGAGTCAGGGCAGTGCGTAGGAAACTTCGATCAAAAGGGCGACGCAGGTTTCGCTCAAAGCTGTTGTGATGTCGGCGGGCCGGGGGAAGCTCTCACCCAAGGGGTTCCCCTTAACAAGGACTTACATGGGAGGCATGCGATGAGCTTGAAGTGAATTCGAGCACCAGTGTACCTGAATGGTCAGGGCACGGAATATCCAAGCATCACCGTCCCGGGCAGGGACCACCTCATAAAATCAGCGCGGCTTGAAAACTGCAAGCGCGATCCGTTCAAATCCAGAGATGCAATTTGGGAGGGATGACATGTTGCTGTGTAGGTAGCCTTCGCTTTCTATTGCCACTAGGTGAGATGGCACGTCAGAAGATCTGTTGCTAGTTACCGGGAGTTCCACTCCTTACATTCTGGCTAGTCCTCCGCACACGACAATGTTGGGATGGCAAAAGCTATAAGGATTGTGATGGGTCCACCAGGTCTGCGTCGGCGTCTGCAAAAGGATGGTTTCAGCTGCATCCAGGAGGCATCTGGTTGTGTTGCCGCAGTGACTGTATCTGAACAGACCTGGCTTTGTTGAATCAGCAGCGTTGCGACAGATCTAAAATGAGCTTCTTAATTGGCGGGCTCTGTCATAGAGCTCCTGCAAGGCTGTTGGTGCAGACCTTCGAGCGAGATGAGGAACAGCATCATGCAATGGCTTGCGGCAAGTGCTTTTCTTGACACTGCCAGGCCAAGCTCTGTCTCGCTGGATGCAGGGGAAGCGGCCAAAATGATGGAGTTCTTGTCCTGCAAGGTGTAAAGATTTTGCAGGGATGCATGGACTCATCACACGTCGAATTGTCAAGATGTTGCGGGCGCAGCTTTGACAGACTTCATGATCAAGAGCAAACTTGACTGTCAGCGTCAACCGGATCCCGGTTTGAGACTATCCACACTAGATGCCTAGAGCACTTGCAGCACCCACTAAGCCCCAAGTTTCACAAGCGCTGCACATTATACATTTGTTGGGCTGGTCCTGGCGAGCTGTAGCATGTCGCAGCTGGTGCTGGATTGGTGTGGCGCCCCAGTTTACATTCTACATGGCACTGATATGCTTTCTGGTTCTGATTGCTTTGCTGGCTTTGGCCAGGCTCAATGAGGACGTGCGCCTATCTCGGAAGGCAATCCCAGCAAGTGTTTTACAAGATGAAGGCCTCAAAGCAAGGGGGTCATGCCGTGCGTTGCGCGCTGAAGTCCCACCCTGCCTTGGTGATCTTCAGACGTGCCAGCACCTTTGCTTGAAACCTTGTCGACGATTTTGCAAAAGCACGCGCAAGAATAGACACCGATCTTCCAGTAACGAGTGCAAACGCAAGAGATTCCTGTTGCAAGCATTGGAATTGAAGAAATGCAGCACCAGCGAAGTGGAATGCAAAGCTAAAGTCAACCTTTCATAACCTGGGCGGGGGCACATGTGCGCCCTAATTCTTGTCTACTGTGCCACCACCACCACCACCGCCGCCGCCGCCGCCACCGCTGCCGCC